AAAAAAAAAAAAAAAAAGGAACAGATTTGTGGCACAGCCTCCCACAGGGATTCTGGTTGGGTTTGAATAGCACCTAGGAATGGGTTTATAACCTGTGATGTGGGGAGGTCTCAGACTTCCACCTCCCATCGTGTCTAACGGCCCAGCGAGATGCTGGTGCCGGTTGGTGCCTCCAGGTGGGCCCTGGGACTTGGACCAAGACTTTCCTCCTAGGAGCCGGGCAGGTCTGAGGGTCCCCCTTTTCCAGGTGGGCGTGATCGGGGAAGGAGAGGAGTGGCTGCTGATTCACCAGCTCAGCAATGAGCCAGATGCCCGCTCTATGGAGGTCCCGGACCTCAACCCCTTCACCTACTACAGGTAAAGCCCCTGGCGGAGAGCAAGGCTGCCCGGAACGGAGCAGGATTGGGCTCTGAGATCCTCCTCTCACCATCTCGTTCCTCCCCTCTGCTCCACCCAGCTTCCGCATGCGTCAGGTGAACATCGTGGGCACCAGTCCACCCAGTCAGCCTTCTAGAAAGATCCAGACCCTCCAGGCGCCTCCTGACATGGCCCCGGCCAACGTGACTCTGCGCACAGCTAGCGAGACCAGCCTGTGGCTCCGGTGGATGGTGAGGCTCCCTCCAGGGCCCCAGGGTGTGCTGTCCCCTTGACCGTCCGACCCTGCAGAGCGGCCATGGCCTCAGACGCCTGTGCTGCTGCAGCTTTATTTGTACTTTGTGCTTTCAGAAGTTTTCTTTTCTTCTTAGCTCACCTGATGGATTAGGTTTCCCATGGCTGAACCAGATACCTGACACCCACAGCGGAAAGGAGGAGAGGCTCAGCTTTTAAGGGGATTCAGTCCATGTTCCCACCGTGGCAGGAGGGCGTAGTGAAGCAAAGCCTTGTAGTGCATGGCAGCAGGGGGCAGAGCAGGGTAACAGCACCAGAGAAGAAGGGACCAGGGACCAGACATAGACCCCAAGGTCAGTCCTGCCTCAGACACAGGAAAAAGCGTCTCCCATAGATGCTCTGAGCAGATCCCAAAGCTCACATGTCCCCCAACCCTAACTGCCACACCCAATCAGGTGCTTCACATTCTCAGCTGGAGGAACGGTTGCCTCCGATGAGAGGAAGGAGCTAGAAAATGCTGTTCCCTGAGCATTGCCAGGTGCCAAGCGTTTTAAATTTCTTACCCCATTTAATCCTCCCAGGAATCTTTTAAAAAATGCACATTTGTCATGCCATTGTACAGCTAAGAAAAACTGAGGCTCGGGGAGCTTAGGAACTTGCCCGTGGCCACATAGCTCCTGTGCAGAGGGCCTGGCACTCAGAGGCATCTGTGCAGCATGCTGTGCCCCAGAGAGGGCAGTAGGCTGAGGGGCATTGCCTCCGTGTGGGGAAGTGGCCCTGCTGACAGTGCAGGCTTCCTCTCCTGCCAGGGCCCTAGCAGTACTTTATTCTGTCAACAGGCCTGTGACAGCCCACAGATCCTAGTCCCCATTTTGCCAAGGGAGAAACTGAGGCAGAGAAAGGTTGGACAACCTGCCCAGGACCCCATTATCCTCCCTCAGCCCCTAGTTAACAGCAGGGCTGGAACCCCAACCCAGGGAGTGTGTACCCTAAAATCCACAGCTCTAGCCTCAAGCACACTGCCAGCTCACAATTTGGGGACCGGAAGAAATCGTCTCTCTAAGCCCCACCCCAGCAGCGTTTTTCAGTGTGAGTCCCACGAGGCAAGAATCCCAAGAGGCATGGGAGTCAACAAGAACTCCCACACAATCCCGACTACTAGGAAGGCTGAAGCAGGAGGGTCAAAAGTTCCAAGCTATGGAGACTTTGTTTCAATACAAATAAAGGAATGGGGGCTAGGGGTGCCACTGGTCCCAGGATTAAATCCCCAGCAGCACAAAATTAAAAAGAGAGAATTCTTAGATACAGCTCCTGAGCGACCTGGAACTCTGGCATCAGAAAAGCTGGCTTGAAAGAGCTCCCGGTCCCCTTCTGTCACCACGAGGGCCCTCTTACTAGTTATAAAGGGGCAAAAAGGCAGAGGCCACACAGGGCAGGGCCAGCTCCCCTCAGGCCCACATGCCACGTGGCTGCTTCCTCTTGGTAGCCGTCTCGGGCTCGCTGGCCCGTGGAGTGCCACCTTAACGGTCTCAGGCCTCTGCGCTCAGTGTCTGGAGAGGCGGTGGGAGGAGGTGTGAGTGGGGAGGCCAGGTGGAGCGGGGAACTGGAGAAAGTGGGTTAGGTGTGGAGAGCATGGGCCTCCGGAGCCCCTGGGGAGCACACAGGAGTCGGGTGAGCAGAGGCCTGTTCCTCACCCACACCTGCCTCGGGCCACAGCTCTCCGCTGCTCCCCAGCCGCACCTGGCTTCATCCCAGGGATGGGACCACAGCTCCAGCCTGGCCCTAAGGCCTGGAAAGGAATCTGCCTTTCCCCTCTGCTGCGATGCAGATGAGAAAGAGGAGAGGCTGGGAACGCAGCAGGAGAGACACAGGGTGAGGCAGGGACGGTGCCCGGCTGTGTGGGAGGCACACATGCACCTCCTCCCCCTGCGGGGGCCTATGGGAGCCTGAGTGAGCCAGGCGTTGCAAAGTTCAGGTGAGTGTGCTCTCCCACCTGAGTGGGAATCTAAGCAGGTGAGGCAGCAGAGCCCAGGCGGTTGCACCCATCAGCACGGTGACAGATGGCCTTCGAGTATCCTGAAAGATCGACTCAAGCCAAGTGCAGGGGGACAAGTCTGTAATCCCAGCGCTCATGAAGGCTGAGGCAGGAAAATCTCATATTCTAGCCCAGTGTGGGCAACCTTAACAAAATGCAATTTCAGAATTAAAAAAAATAAGAAGTACTGGGGATGTAGCTCAGTGGCAGAGTGAGTGCGCATGGATTTGATCCCCAGTACCACAAAGCAATAACAACTGGGTGTGGTGTCTCGTGTCCGTGATCATAGCACCTCTGGGAGGCTGAGGCAGGAGGATTACAAATTCAAGTCCAATCTGGGAAATTTAGTGGTTCATTGAGACCTTTCCTCAGAATAAAAAGAGCCAGGAATTCAATCCCCAGTATTAAGGGGAAGGAAGGAGAAAAGAAGCCAAGAAAGGCAGAAGAGAAAGGAAGGAAAGGACAGGACAGGACAGGACCAGCTCTGGGCAGGCAATAAGCAAGCTACACACACACTGGAGGATCCCGCTGCTTCTCCTAGGAGTGTGGGTGGACAGATGGGGGTTTGGGGGCAACAGAAACCATGTGCGGAGCCCAAGCCATGCTGGGGTGGGAGCATCTCTCTAGGAGGAAGAGGGGTAAGTGCTCCCACCCGTACTGGGCAGTCCTCTGCCCAAGACGGCCTCCCTCACGCACACCGCCCTCTATGTGCCACAGCCTCTCCCGGAGATGGAATACAACGGGAGCCCTGAGTCAGTGGGCTACAAGATCAAGTACAGCAGGTCCGACGGCCATGGCAAGACCCTGAGCCACGTGGTGCCGGACCGCATGGAGCGGGAGTACACCATCGAGGACCTGGAGGAGTGGACGGAGTATCGAGTGCAGGTCCAGGCCTTCAACGCCATCGGGAGCGGGCCCTGGAGCCCGGTGGTGCTCGGCAGGACCCGGGAGTCAGGTGCCCGCCTCTCTCCAGGGACACCCGGGGCTGGGACTGTGGTCCGAGACGGCCTGAGGGGCTTCCTCCGTGCTCAGCCCAGCACCGCACATCCGGCCCCATGCCCGCCTCTCAGTGCCTGCCCGTCCCCAAGCCTATCTCTGTGGGTGGCAAGGCATTCTGCCTACCTCCTGCCCTCGGCTTTAACCCTGAACCCAGTGGTGCCCAAAGGAGTCAGAGATTCGGGAAAGGAATCACTCTCAGAACATTCTAGGAACATAGCAGCAGTTCCTAGGGGCCCGACCATCAGGCCCAAAGGTGGTTTGAGGTCCCGTGGCTCTTTGTTGGCACCTTTTAAATTCAGGTGCCTCTCTGCTCCCCAGTTGGAGAGCCTGAAGGTGCCACTGATTTGCCAGGTCCACACCACACTTTCTGCCATGGAGCAGGCAGCATGGGGCGGCTCCTGCCCGAGCCCTGCAGCCTGCTGCTCACCTCCCTCCACTGCGGGGCCAGCCCTGGGTCCTCATCGCCTCCTCCCCACTCCCTCTTCTCCCACAGTCCCGTCCTCTGGTCCCACCAACGTGTCGGCACTGGCCACCACCTCCAGCAGCATGCTCGTGCGCTGGAACGAAATCCCTGAGGCTGACCGCAATGGGCTCGTGCTGGGCTATAAGGTGAGTCGCTGGAAAAGGGCGGGTTCCTTGGTCTTTGGGGCTCCAGCCTCCTTTATAGTTCTGTTGGGCCCAGTTTTCAGTTTTGTATTAGTCAATTTTCATTACCATAGTAAAATACCTGAGACTGGCTAGCTTATGAAGTAAAGAGGTTTATATAGCTCACAGTGTAAGAGGCTGGCAGACATGGTGCCTGCACAAGCTTAGCACTGGTGAGGGCCCACTCAGCTGTGTCCCATCGTGGTAAATGATGGTGACAGCTCGTGTGGGAGAAGCTACCCCATCTCACTCACATCTGCATACAGGAAGCCAGAGAGAGGCCTTTGTAACAACCTGATCCTCTCTTGGGTTGGGGCCCAATGAGAACTGCCTTAATCCCGCCAAGATCAGGGCCTTTCACTGGGGCCCGCTTTTCAATGTCATATCAGCAACCACACCTGAGGGCCAAGCTCCCCACTCACAGACCCTTGGGGGGAAATCAAAACCCAGACTGTAGCAGTTTCAGTTCTCTCCTAGAACTGTGCTTAAATCTGTACCTTGCCACCGGGTCCGGCCCTGGCCTGGAAGCTAGGAGACGTGGGTTGAGGTTGCTCACTCCTAGCTGTGTGACCGTCAGCAAGTCACGTTCCCTCTCTGAGCCACTCTTCTCTGAAGGCTCTTCCAGCTCTACACCTAGGTCCATCTTTGTCCCCAGCCCTCCCCCCACTAGCTGCACAGTCTGGGACAGACCAGACCAGACCATCCAGGGCATGAGTCTCAGAACAGGTTCCACCATGGTGACAAGGTCCAGCCTGAGGCCTCCCCTGTGCTCATCTGGGCAGGTGAGGTACAAGGAGAAGGACGCGGACTCCCAGCCCCGCTTCTGGCTGGTGGAAGGCAACGCGTCTCGCAGTGCACAGCTCACCGGCCTGGGCAAGTACGTGCTGTACGAGGTGCAGGTGCTGGCCTTCACGCGCATGGGCGACGGCAACCCCAGCCACCCCCCCATCCTGGAGCGCACGCTGGACGACGGTGAGGCTGCACCCCGGGACCAGGGCAGCCGAGGGCCTCCTATCCACGGGGGGTGGGTCTCAGAGGCCAGCAGCCCCACTGGACGACACAAGAGCATCTCTTGGTCTCTCTTCTTTGGGACAAGTGTCTAGAGCAGGAACTTGGCAGTTTGGGTTTCTTTTGTTTTCTTTTTGGTACTGGGGAATCAAACTTGGGACCTCGTGCTTGCGAGAGTTTTGGTTTCTTTCTCACTTGGAGCAAGTTTGCTTTGGGCAAAGTCTGTGAAAGGGAAAAAGCCTTGGTTTCATTTTCCTGGGCAGGAGCCTCATGGTCCTGTTTGCAAAATAGTGACACCAGGCAGGGAACGGTAGTGCATATTTGTAATCCCAGCTCTGTGGGAAGCTGAGGCAGGAGGGTGGCGAGTTCGAGTCCAGCCTGGGGTCATATAGTGACTTAGTGAGACCCAGCGTACACCCGGCAGAACTCCGGGTCACAGCTGACTGCTAGGCCCCTCACCCTCCCTTCCCCACTTCCCACATCAGGCCCATCACAGACAAGAGTGAAGGAAGAAGTCCAGATACCTCTTGTCTGTCTACTCTAAAATTATAAACCAAGCTAATGAGCTGTTAAATTAAATGTGTCCCATCCTGCTGTCTTGACGAGTATACCCAGACAATGACCTGAAAGGCCAAGTCCAAGCTAGGAATCCCTGACTTCTTGGCATTCTGTGTGGCAAGGAGCATCCCACCTGGCCATTGCCACCCCCTCCGCCCGTGTGTGCCATTCAGTCTCCGTCCACTCCCAGAACAGCCGCCCTGGCCGTGCCTGGACGCACAGCCTGCCCTGGAGAGGAGGATCCGGGGACAGGCCCGTGCAGACGCTGAGAGCACGCTGCACTGTCTAGGCAGAGAATCCAGGACCCCAGGATTCCAGAGCGACGTCCAGAGGGAAGAGTCACCCGGGCTCGGGGTGGGCATGGCACTGCCCCGTGGTCATCCGCACAGTGGGCAGGAAGAAGTCCAAGCAAGGCTTTCTAAACATGGACTCGGGGCAGGGCCTGTTTACTGGGTGCTGGCAGTGTGGACCCGGACACTGAACTCAGTAGTGCCTATTCTGAGGGTAGAACCTCATTCTGTCTTCTAGTTTCTATGTTTTAAAAAACGTTCTTTAGAGGGAGCAAGTCTCACTGATTTCGGGTGTGTATCCCTGGCACCTAACCCAGTGCCAGGCATGGAGCAGCATGCTGCGAACATTCACTGAACTGGAATAAGCCGCTCTCCACCCCACGGACCGCCCTGCGTGGAGGGCATCAAGCACATCATCAGCCTCTCCCCCTCTGTCCCCTCCAGTCCCCGGACCCCCCATGGGCATCCTGTTCCCGGAAGTGAGGACCACATCGGTGCGGCTGATCTGGCAGCCCCCTGCAGCCCCCAATGGCATCATCCTGGGTAAGCTCAAGCCTTTCCTGGGCCCTGTCTGCAGGAAGGAGAGGGAGGCAGTTGTAAAGGGGCACACTCAGAGCAGGCCCCGGAAGTGTCCACGTGTCCTTCAGACTGGGCTCTGAGTCCTGGTCCTCCTGCTAGAAGTTCCCGCCTATAACATTATGTGCTGGAGGGCCAGGGAGGGCAAGGGAGAGCAAGTTCACAGCCCTTAAGGACCTCTGACTGGTTCCGTGCCTCTGAATGCCCAGTGCCCAGGCAGTTGCCCTCTCATAAACATCACTGCTGTTCCTGAGTGTGGCCAAGTGAAGGCGCACCGTCCAGCTCAGTGCAGCCACGCTTGCTGCTCAGAAACAGCTGCTGCCGCAGAGGTGAGGGGGCTGAGGACCAGAAGCTTCCAGCCCCGACAGACACACCCAGGCTGAAGGCAGCCACTACCTTGAGCAAGTCTGCTTCCCCACAGCCTCTGCCCCTCACCTTTGACATGGAGGCGTGGCCAGGCAAACGCTTATTCCCACCTACTCAGGAGGGTGAGGCAGGAAGATCACAGGTTTAAGGACAGCCTGGGCAACCTAGCAAGACTCCATCTCACAAAATGTTTAGATAAAATAAAGAATATACACACACGTGTACACACACGCACACACACACTGTTGCTGGGATGACCTACACCTATTCTGGGTCCTTGGTCCATGCCACTCCGGGGCAAAAGCCACACCTTGGAAGCCAACAGATGGGGGAAAGTCATGTGCTCTAGATCAGAATGACCCGGGCTGGGACTCCTATCAGCTGCCCTGGCCTCTCCTGGCCTCCGGCTCCTGACACTGGGCCCCTGAACAGCCCACACTGCCCCAGGTGGCAAGTGAGGATATAGCAGTGACACACTACAACCAAGGCAGGGGTGCCTTGCCCTGCTTTCCAGCTCTGTGCTTTCCCTTCCTGCCTCCCAGCTTACCAGATCACACACCGGCTCAATGCCACCACCGCCAGCACCGCCGCAGTGGAAGTGCTGGCCCCGAGCGCCCGCCAGTACACAGCCTCCGGCCTCAAGCCAGAATCTGTCTACCTGTTTCGCATCACAGCTCAGACCCGCAAAGGCTGGGGAGAGGCCGCTGAGGCCTTGGTAGTGACCACCGAGAAGAGAGGTGACTGCCCGCGGGAGCTGGGGAGAGCTGGGAGGTCAGGGGAGGGGTACCACTGCCTCTCCAGGTGCTCAGAGCCTTTCCTAGTGGGAAGCTGGTTACAGATCATATAGCCCCGGTCTGGAGAGCGGAAAATGTGCTCTGATCTCTGGAGCCATGGTCAGTGAGGGGTCTGTAGATCTGTATCCCTCCCTGGGTTTCTAAAGGAAGATGAGTGGAAAAAAAAAATGAAAAGGCCGGGGATTTAGCTCAGCGGTTTGGTGGCCTGCCTTGCAACCGCAAGGAATGGAGTTCAATCCCTGGTACCAAAATAAATAAAGGAAGGAAGGAAGGAAGGCAGATGGGTGACACCTCCATCCCCTGGCTTTGTCCAGGTGGGTGAGAGTCAGGGTGGCAGCCTGGGGTCTTGGCTGCCACTCCCTCCTAGTCCCTCGTCTGAGCTGCGGTTCCACAGAGAGGCCTTGAGCCCCGCTTGGTGTGAAAGTGATTGGCTCGAAAACATTCCCAGGAAAAGCCAGCAGGACGCTGGTTGTCGCATCTTGGGGAAGGTGCTATTGGGACTGAGTAGGTAGAGGTCAGGAAAAGAGCTAAACATCCTCCCATTCAAGGACAGCCTTGGCCACAGAGATCCATCCAGTCCAGGTGCCAGCTCTGCGGAGGCTGAGCCTCCCTGCCATGGGCAGTAGGGAAGGGAGGCTGGGAGAGAGGAAGGCACTCGAGGGTGTGATGTGAAGTCAGTTCCACCCCTGCTCAGACTCCCTGATCGGGCATTACAGGTCCCATCTCCAAGTTGTCACAGGCAGGAGCAAAGGCACTGGGCATTTGTACGTCCTCACTGTGGTCTTGGCGAGGGCTGCATGGGGAGCCCTGCCCCCTGGGACTTCAGCAATCAGAGGCCAGGAGACACAGCGCTGGCTGCTGGGAGTGAGACCAGCAAGGCCCTTGTGTGCACGGAAGTGGGGTGAGGAGGGGGCACCATGCTCCTCCAGCCCAGCCCAAGGTACGCGGCTCACCTGACCCCCCTCCCCAGACCGCCCGCAGCCCCCCAGCAAGCCTGTGGTGCAGCAGGAAGACGTGAAGGCGCGCAGTGTGCTGCTGTCCTGGGAGCCGGGCAGCGATGGGCTGTCCCCAGTGCGCTACTACACCATCCAGACCCGTGAGCTGCCCGGCGGCAGGTGGGCGCTGCACTCGGCCTCCGTGAGCCACAACGCCTCCAGCTTCACGGTGGAGAGGTGAGGCAGCGTCCCGCCCTTCCCCCAGCCGGGGTGGCCACCAGCAGAGGTCCCCCAGCCTGGCCCAAGTCTTCCACAGCTCGCCCTGCCCTAGAGGCGTCCTCTCCTCTCTCCCTCTGGCTCTGTCCTGGTCTCCCTCACTCCGCCTCTCCAGGAACCCCATTAAGCCTGCCTCATGATTATTTCTGGAGCCTAGTGTCCCCCACTCCAGGGCAAAGCCCTCACCACCCTTCATTAGTGATGCTCCCCAGCCAACCGGCAGCTTCCTCCCGTCTTTAATAGGGGAGCAGAGCTTCCGTCCAAAACTCTGGCTTCGATTTAATTCCTGGTGGTTGTATTTTTTACATTCCAGTCGACGTGATCTGAAGTTTGAGTAATCCTTTCCTGCCCACCTCCCCCACCCCGTAAATGAAGAAAGACACTTGCTGGGAGAGGAAAGGAGGCTGACAGAGAGGAGTCTGGTTCTCTCTTGGGAACTTCCACCCTCCCAAGTTCAGGGAAGGAGGCGCAGCTTGCAAGGGGAGACTCTGAGAGGGAATTCTGGGTGCTCTCTGGCTGCCTGGCCTATGAGGCGGACATTTCTCCCTGGGAACATAAGGCAGCTAAAGACTCCCAGAGGCATGATCCGGGAGTCTGGCCGGGGACTCGGGCCTGGCCTGGGGACTCCGCTCCTGAGCCTGGTTATCCGCATCTGTGTGGTAGGGCAGCACCTCTGCCTGCCTTTCCCCAAGCAGGAACAGATCAGCAGGACCCCATGGCGGAGGCATGGAGCGTGATCTTTGGGAACCACTGCTCATAGGACCCCACTTCCCTCCACAGGCTGAAGCCCTTCACATCCTACAAGTTCCGAATGAAGGCAACCAATGACATTGGAGACAGCGAGTTCAGTGAGGAGTCGGAGTCTCTGACCACACTGCAGGCCGGTCAGTGCGCCTCCCCACATGGGTCTCTGGCTGCGGGCTGGCTGCTTCCTGGGCACAGAGGAGAGAGGCCTCCAAGGGAGAGAGGACCCTGGGCTACTGGGCCTTCAGGACTCTGGACCCTGCCTGGCATGCAAGCCCATTGCTTGGCTGACATCCCACAGGCTACTGGGCAGTGGGTGGGCAGCCAGAGAGCCTGGGGCTGGGACCCACAGATTTGGCCAGGCCGGGTCGCTCCCTCCACACTGGCCCTTTGTTCTGTAGAAGTTGAGTTGCTGAGAATACCGGGTGATATAAGAGGGATCTGCCTATCAGCCCCAAATCAGCAGGACCTGGTCCCATGGGCTCTAGGTGGGGCTGAAACTCCAGGCCCAGGTGCCACCTGCCTGCCTCTCTCCACAGCCCCTGACGAAGCCCCCACCGTGCTCTCAGTGACTCCCCACACCACCACCTCCGTGCTGATCCGGTGGCAGGTAGGTCAGGCCGGCAGGATGGGCCCATCTCCCCGCAAGGACGCAGACAGCGGTGCTCTGGACTGGAAAGCCAACAGTCCCCAGTGGGGCTGCCTGGGCTCCCCAGAGCACACAGAAATGTGTGAGACTCCCAGGGGTCTGCACATCGTGGGCCATTCTACACACACGTGTGTGTGCACACAGCTGTTCTACTTCCCAGAGAGTCACATCTGGCAGGGGCCACCTCCCCTACTGCCGATGAGGACAGAGGTGCAGGAGGGGATTGCAGGGGTCACACAGCTCTGTGAGTGGCAGGGTCAAGTTTATGAACCCAGGTCTACTGAAGCCTCAGGAAGAAGAGTAATTGGGAATCCAGGGTCCCCTGAGTCCCCATGAAACCCAGCCTCTGCCCATCGCTGAGAGCAGGAACTCATCATTCAGGGAGAAAAATAAGTTCTTCCTTCTGCCCTCCAGCTGCCCACTCCTGGCAGGCACGGCCTACTCTGCCGGGGGCCTGGGGAATGACCACCATAGGAAACCTCAGAGACCAGGCCTCCCAGCTGCCCTGCCCTTCGGCCCCCTCCCGTGTCCTCCTGAGGCCCAGCCTGGGCTCAGCAGGTTACCCACAGGTGCTCCACAGCCACAGGTTCCTGTCCCCGCTTCTCGGGGTCAGCCTGTGCCCACGTGCCACTGGCACGCGGCCCCCAGAGAGAGGGGAGAGGACACCCCCTTAAGCAGAAACGACCTAGTGCCGCTGTGCAAGCCAGGGATGCTGGAGTGGATGGGAATGACCTGGCGAGGGGGCAGGGCAGTGCCCACGGCAGCCAGGGAAGCAATTAAGGAACTAATAAAAGGCTGAACCATTTCTGCCGGTTTTTGAAAAAGAGGCTTCACAAAAAGTAGTTCCCAGCTTCTTCTGCAGCCTGTTCTTCAACACCACTGTGGACGGGAGCAGAAAGCAAAGGAGAAAGTGACAGGCAGGGGGCACAAGCAGATGCATTCGTCCAGGATGTGCTGAAGAGTAAGGAGAGGGCTTAGCACACAGAAAATGCCAGGCAGCGCTGGGCAGGTGGCAAGCAGGGGTCATCAGCAGGCTGGGAGATGAGGGGTGGGGCTTCTGGACAAAACCTGGCTTGTGTGTCCAGAGTTGAGTGTCCAGTCCCCATCAGTGCTGTGTGGCCAGGGACAAGTGCCTTGCCTTCTCTGAGCTTGTCTTTGGCTCCATGAGGAGGTGATTAGCATGGTGATTCCTGCCCTCTCCACCTCAATGCAGCAGCCTCACTGGAAATGCTGTATGAATTTAAAATGCTCAGGGCCGGGATTTAGCTCAGTGGTTCCGGTGCCTGCTTTGCAAGCACAGGGACCTGAGTTCGATCCTGGCACCAAAAAAACAAAACAAAACAATAAAAACGCTCCTTGCTTTCCTAGCTTGTTTTCCTGATGGCGCTTCCGGCCCTACTCTGGGCCGCAGGAGGCCTGATGGGGAGAGTGGGGTGACAGTGGTCCGGGGCTGCTCCCCATATCTCACTGTTTGCCTGTAGCCACCAGCGGAGGACAAAGTCAACGGCATTCTCCTGGGCTTCCGCATCCGGTACCGGGAGCTGCTGTACGAAGGCCTGAGAGGCTTCACTCTTCGAGGCATCAACAACCCTGGGGCCAAGTGGGCGGAGCTCACGTGTGAGTGACACTCTCACTTTCCCGCTCCCAGCTCTCGGCTTCCTGTAGTTTCCCAGCCTGCATCCCTGCCTGCCTGCCTTGCCTCACTGCACATGCCTCTCCCGCCTCTCATCTACTGGCTGAGCATTTATGGAGCGGCTTCTGCAGGTTCCCCAGGGCCACACCAGCCCCTGCCCTCTGAAGCCATTGACAGTTGGGGGGCGGGTCCAGGATAGGCAGGGCCTTAGCTTCAGCACTAACACAGGAAGGATCTGGGCTCCCAGGGGCACATAAGGAGGAGCTGCCTGCATCTGAGGGACCAGCAGCCTGAAAGGCCAGGTTTCTCCAGGGAGCAGCACCTGAGGCTTCTCTTGCACCCGAGAGCACTCGCTTCTCTGGGGCCTGGGAATCCAGTCTGCCTGGTCCATGGGGAAGGAGAGCTCAGGGAGCCCCGAAAATCCAGGGAAGACCCTGGTTGGACTTTGGGGTTAGGCCTGGGGGTGATGCCTTGGCCAAGGGGACGGGGAGGGCAGTAGGCTGAGGCGGGGAGCAGGCTGGGGATGGAATCGAAGCCAGTTTGGGAGCAGTCGCTCTGTGGGCAGGGACTCTGAAGGGCTCCATGTTGGTTTATGGAGGAGAAGGGAAGCAGGCGAGAAAGAGGTGAACACAGAGGCCCCCTGTCTGCCTCGCCGCTGCTTCCCGTCCTCCTTGGAAGGCTCTTGTGCCTGGTGTCCAGGTGAGTGTTAGCAGACAACAAAAAGATTGAGCTTGTGGCAGAGGTTTATTAATAGCAAAACTCGGAGGTACTTGATCCAACAGCATGCGTTACTGTCATATATATAT